CCAGGGCCAAGTCTGCCCTATAAAGTCACCTAAGAGGGCAGAGCAGCAATACCTGAGGTATTCCCGGGCTGGGAGTCCCCTGGGCAGGCTGGAGTGGGACCCACCAGCACCATCTGCCACATGGACCTGCCCAGGAATGTTTGCTCTGCTCTGACACAGCACCAGGACTGCACCTCTTGCCTTTTCTCCAAGTGCAGCAAGAGAGTGGCAAGTCCTGGGCCAGGATGTCTCTGGCCACTGTTTTAGGTGCCTTTCTCACCCTCCATGGCCCTTCTCTCAGACTGGCAGGAGGCTCAGCCCTGCCCAGTGCCCTGGAAAGCCATGGGAAGGAGGAAAGAGCAGCCCAGCTGCCAGGGAGCTGTGGCAGAGCTGAGTCAGGGCTCACAGGAGCTCTGGCCAGAGCCAAACCCGAGCTGCTCTCTGTGTCCAGGCCAAATACTTGTGCTGCCTCTGGCATGTTTGCCTAAGCACTGAGCTCCTGGCGAGTCTGTACTGTCACTAGGTCAGCAACAAGAGCTAAATGAGTCACAGAATCACACACTGGTTGGGGTTGGAGGGACATTAAACTTCATCTCATCCCACCCCTGTCATGGGCAGGGACACCTTCCACTAGCCCAGGTTACTTCATCCAGTTATTGGATGGGGCAGCCACAGCTGCTCTGGGCAACCTGTGCCAGTGCCTCAGCACCCTCCCAGGGAGGAATTCCTCCCCCATACCACATCTGTCCCTGCCCCCTGGCAGGGGGAAGTCATTCCCTGTGTCCTATCCCTCCATCCCTTGTCCCAAGTCCCTTTGCAGCTCTCTTAGAGCCCCTTGAGGCACTGGATGGGGCTCTGATGCCTCCCTGGATCTTCTTTTCTCCAGGCTGTATACCCCCACAACTCTCCCAGCCTGGCTCCAGGGCAGAGGTGCTCCAGAATCCTGCAATGTGTTGGATGGAAAGGAACATAAAGCTCATCTCATCCCACCCCCTGCCATGGGCAGGGACACCTTCCTCTAGCCCAGATGGCTCCAAGCCCTGTCCAGCCTGGCCTGGAACACTCCCAGGGATGGAGCAATGCACTGGTTTGGGCTGGAGTAGAGTTAACTTCCTCCACAGTGGGTTTGGATTTGTGTTGAACACAGGGATGACAATATGGAGATGTTCTTGTTGTTGCTGAGCTCATACAGAGCCAAAGACTTTGCTGCTCCTCATACTGCCATACTGGTAAGAAACTTGGGGGTGCAGGGGAGGTTGGGAGGACACACAGCTGGGGAACCATACTGACCCAAGAGATATTCTAGACCATAGGACATCATGCTCAGTATGGAAAGTGGGGGAAGAAAGAGGCAGGGAGATGTTTGGAGTGATGTGTTTGTCCTCCCAAGTGACTGTTACAGGGGATGGAGCTCTGCTCTGACAGAGGTGTTTAGGAGGTGTCTGGATCTGGTGCTGGGAGATAAAAGGCTCAGAAAAGGTGCAGAACACCTGAGGAAGGGCTGAGGGAGTTGGGTTTGTTCAGCCTTGAGCTCTTCTCAAGGGGTGACCTCATGGCTCTCTCCAACTCCCTGACAGGGTTGGAGAGAGGTGGGGGATGTCTCTCCTGCCATGGCTGCAGGGAGAGGACTAGAGGGAATGGCCTTGCGCTGAGACAGGGCAGAGGCAGAGGAGATGTTAGGAGAAATATTTTCCCTGTTAAGGTGTTCAGGCATTGGAATTGTCCAGGGAGGTGTTGGAGTCACCATCCCTGGAGGTGTTTAAGAGGTGTCTGGATCTGGCACTGGAGGATATGGTTTAGGGGTTCCAGCAGTGACAGGTTAATGGTTGGACTTGATGATCTTACAGGTCTCTTCCAACCTTGATGATTCTATGATTCTAAATCTTTGTTTTGCTTTCCCTATTAAACTCCTTATCTCAACCCAGGACTTTTCTAGCTTTCACCCTTCTGCTTCTCTGCCCAACCCAGTGGTGAGCAATGAAGGAGCAGCTCCTGGGAGTTGGTGCCTGCTGGGGTTAAACCACAACACTCAGCCACAAAGGACCTCAGGGATTTTCTTGTGCTTGACAAGGGCAGAGAAATGAGACCACTGAGAGCAAACAGGAGCTGGTCCTTCCCCTGAGCATCCTCAGCCTTGGACTGTATCCATCCCCCACCAGGCATGAAACATCTCTGTCCCTCACCCACACACCCCAGAGCTTCCAAGAGCTCACCCAAGCAAGGATGGGAGGAGAGATAGGATCTTTACCTTCCTGTGGGATTCTGCTCCTTTCCACCTCCTCAATAAATAGGGAGAACATGTTTGTCTTCACAAACTTCTTGACGAACCTGCGGCTGCTCCTGGAGGTGATGGCCTTGCAGAAGCTTCTCTCCTGGAAGCTCCCTGAACCACTCTTGTTCCACTTGATGTGGGAGGAGTAGTGTCCCACCATTCGGACAAAGAAATGCACAAAGGCTTCGGAGACAAGTGTGTTCACCTGCTCAGAGGCTGCAAGAGGACATGGAGTGGGAGAGGTGAGGCTGGGTCTCTGAACAGGGAATCATGGATTGTTAAGGGGTTGGAATGGAGATGAAAGATCACCCAGTGCCAACCCCCTGCCCTGGGCAGGGACACCTCCCACCAGAGCAGGTTGCTCAAGGCTTTAGCCAACCTGGCTTTGAACACTGCCAGGGTTGGGGCAGCCACAGCCTCCTTGGACAACCAGTGACTGTCTCACCACCCTCACAGGAAAAACTTCTGCCTAAGATCTAATCTCAATTTCCCATTTCAATTTCTCCCCATTCCTCCTTGTCCTGTCCCTGCAGCTCCTAACCATGAGTCTCTGCAGCTTCCCTGGAGCCCCTTCAGCTCCTGGCAGGTTGCTCTGAGGTCTCCACACCACCTTCTCTTCTCCAGGCTGAACAGCCTCAACATTCTCACAGGGACAGTGCTCTATTTGTCTTATCAACTTAATGGCTTCTGCACTTGCTCCAACAGCTCCATGTCCTAGTGCTGTTGGGGACACAGAGCTGTGTGCAGCACTCCAGGTGGGTCTCACAGAGCAGAGCAGAGGGGGAGAATCCCCTCCCTCCCCTGCTGCCACACTCCTGTGGCTGCAGCCCAGGCCTGGGTTGGTTTCTTAAACATAGGTTGGTCTTACTCTAACCTGCTCTGTGTTTGCATCCCAAGGAATTACTTGCTTAGAACACCCTCAGCCAGTAGACAAAGATCAGACAGATTTTGCTGAGCCCTGGCTGTGCTGCTGCCCAGGCTGAGGCATCTTTATGCACCAAATATTGGCCAAACTTCACTTTTCCAGCAGAATTAGCAGTTCCTGCTCTCATGTCTCAAGAGGACAGAGGAAAAACCAAGTGATTCCCCTCCTATGGCTACATTTGGTTGCAGTTTGGGGCAGAAACACCCCAGGCCACATCCCTTTAGGCCAATCCCTTGGCTGAGAGCTGTGGCCATCCTGGAGAGCAGCTCACACGTGTTTCAGGGTGTACAAAGAGATGTCCTTACTGTGTATGTTGTTGTTGTTGTTATGCCTGTTGAGGGATGTCAACATCTCATTCTGCAGCTTCACAGGCAAGATCTCCTCCTCATCACCCACCTGGAAAGCAACAGGGCCATGAAGCACCTGGAGCTGGTGGGAACCAGCTCTGGTGGCTGTGGGTTAGTGTAGATTGTCAGTGAGGCTCATTAACTAATTATCATTGCAGGTGCTGCAGTGACCAGAGGGTCAGAGTGTATTAAGGGGTTGGAATGGAGCTTAGAGATCATCCAGCCCCAACCCCCTGCCCTGGGCAGGGACACCTCCCACCAGAGCAGGTTGCTCAAGGCTTTAGCCAACCTGGAATGAACATTGCCAGGGTTGGGGCAGCCACAGCCTCCTTGGGCAACCTGTGCCAGTGTCTCACCACCCTCACAGGGAAAACTTCTGCCTAATTATCTAATCTAAATTTCCCATTTCAATTTCTCCCCATTGTCCCTTGTCCTGTCACTGCAGTTCCTAACCAAGAGTCCTCTGCAGCTTCCCTGGAGCCCCTTCAGCTCCTGGCAGGTTGCTCTGAGGTTTCCACACAGCCTTCTCTTCTCCAGGCTGCACAGCCCCAACTCTCTCAGCCTGCCCTCACAGGAGTTATGCTGGGATGGAGATTCCCAGCACATGGACATCTCACAACCAGTCAAATGCAGTGGCTGGAGACATCCCCTGATGGGACATCCCCCCGGATGGGTGGCACTGAGTTGGCTCTGCTCCCAAAATCTTAGAACCACAGAATCCCAGATGGGTTTGGGTTGGAAGGACCTTAAAGCTCATCCCATCCCACCTCCTGCCATGGACAGGGTCACCTTCCACTAGCCCAGGTTGCTCCAAGCCCTGTCCAACCTTGAGCACTCCCAGGGATGGAGCAGCCACAGCTGCTCTGGGCAACCTGGGCCAGTGCCTCAGCACCTCACAGGGAGGAATTCTTTCCCAATATCCCATCTGTCCCTGCCCTCTGGCACTGGGAAGCCATTACCAATGGGAAGCTGCAGGTAGCCAACACTGAGGGGTCAATTGGCCACTCCTGGGGCTCCCCAGGCCACCCCCAGCCCCACACAGGTACTTACTGCTCTGATGATCTTCCCTTCACACAGGTTAACTATCAGGGCCTGAAAGAGAGCAGAGAACAACCAGATTTAGCCCTGCCGAGGCATCCAACTCCTCCCTCCCAGTTTGGGATCAGCAGGTGTGTCACAGCCTGGGAGTTTAGCAGTGGAGGGATCAGCCCCTCTGGGCTGGAGGGACCTGGGCAGAGGCCCAGGGCAGCCCCAAGGGATGGTGTTTGCTGCAGGGTGGTGGTTTTTCCCCACACAGCTTCTCTCTGCTTCCTCAAGGCTGAGATGGTGCCAAAAGCAGCTCCCTGAGCCCCAAGGACACGGAGGGTTAGGGTTAGGACAGGGCTGTGGGTCCTGGGGTGACCAGCAGCACCCAGAAGGACTTGGAAGTGCTGCCTGACATGCCAACAGGAGAGGACATGGAGGAATCCCTAATTTCAGCCTCCCTGGATGGGCCAAGGGCACAACCAGGTCCTCCAGCCTCAGGGCTGCATGTGCTGGGGTGACTGGTAGCACCCTGGGGGATGTGGAGATGATGGTCCAGGTGCCAAAGGAGGAGACATGGAGGAATGTCCAATCTCCAGTCTCCCTGGATGGGAAAAGGGCACAACCAGAGCCTTCAGCCTCAGAGGCAGAGCTGTGGGTCCTGAGGTGACTGGTAGCACCCTGGGGGATGTGGAGGTGTTGGCCCAGGTGCCAAAGGAGGAGACATGGAGGAATCCCCAATCTCCATCCTCCCTGGATGGGACAAAGGCACAACCAGAGCCCCAGCGTCAGGGCTGTGGGTCTAGGGGTGACCAGCAGCACCCAGGGAGGTGTTGCCCCAGGTGCCAACAGGATGGGACATGGAGTAATCCCAAATTCAGCCTCCCTGGATGGGACAAAGGCACACCCAGGGCCCTGGTGCCACCCCACAGCCAGGGGCAGTGACCACCCCATGGCTCCATCCCACCCAGGTGAGATACCTCCTCCATGGGCTGCTCCAGGACCCTCTCCAGGTGCCGCATCTGGATGCCAACCATGAAGGGCGTGGGGCAGCAGACAGTGTCCAGCAAGCACTCAGGGACCACAGGGATGTAGGTGTGAGCCCAGGTGAAGGGGTAGAGCAGAGCAGCCACGGCGTGGATGCACTGAGACAGGACACTGAGGGACAGGGGAGGCATTGGGTGAGGACAGGGATGGCAGAGGGAACAGCCCAGCACAGCTGAGCTGTGCCCTCTGCTCCTTCAAGGGGGTTTTGGGGGTGGGTTGATGAGAAGGAGATTCATAAAGAGCTCAAGACTCACCTCAGCTCCTCTGCCAGGAAGATGAGGCGTCGCTCCAGCACGGCAGAGGCAAAGATGTGCAGGATGAGGTCAGGGCTGAGTCTCTGCAACAGAGCCTGGAACTCCACGTGCTCCAGGTGGGCATCCACGGGCCTGGTGAGCTCAATGAGCTGTGAGGGAAAGCCACCAAACCCCAGCTTAGGAGGTGCAATGTTCCCCCCATGCCACCTTGGCTCCGTGAGAAGGTGATTCAGGAGTAGTTAATGACTGTGATGCCAAGGAAGAGCCATGAAACCCCAGCTTAGAAGGTGCAATGTTCTCTCCATGCCACCTTGGCTCCATGAGAAAGGGATTTGGGAGCAATTAGTGCCCCAGAGCTGCTGAGGAAGGGCCATGAAACCATGACTTAGGAGGTGCAATGTTCCCCCCATGCCACCTTGGCTCCGTGAGAAGGTGATTTAGGAGTAGTTAATGACTGTGATGCCAAGGAAGAGCCATGAAACCCCAGCTTAGAAGGTGCAATGTTCTCTCCATGCCACCTTGGCTCCATGAGAAAGGGATTTGGGAGCAATTAGTGACCCAGAGCTGCTGAGGAAGGGCCATGAAACCATGACTTAGGAGGTGCAATGTTCCCCCATGCCACCTTGGCTCCATGAGAAGGTGATTTGAGACAATTAATGACCAAGAGATGCCAAGGAAGAGCCATGAAACCCCAGTTTTGGACGTGCAATGTTCTCCTTGTGCCACCTTGGCTCCTTGAGAGGGTGATTTGAGAGCAATTAGTGACCCAGAGCTGCAGAGGAAGAGCCACCAAACCATGACTTAGGAGGTGCAATGTTCCCCCCATGCCACCTTGGCTCCTTGAGAGGGTGATTTGAGACAATTAATGACCAAGAGATGCCAAGAAAGAGCCATGAAACCCCAACACAGGAGGTGCTATGCTCCTCCTGTGCCACCTTGGCTCCCTGAGGAGGTGATTTAGGAGCAGTTAATGATCCAGAGCTGCCAAGGAAGAGCCACCAAACCCCAGCTTAGGAGGTGTAACGTTCCCCCATGCCACCTTGGCTCCCTGAGAAAGCGACTTGGGAGCAATTAATGACCCAGAGTTTGCAGCATCTGCACTATGTCCCTCTGCAAGGGACAATCCCCATCTGGTCCTGCCTGGAGCTTTGGGCTGTGCAGTACTGAGGACTCAGGGGAAGCCACTGGTGATGTATATTTTGGGGATGGCTATTTGGGCAGAGGATTTTTAACGAAAATGCCTCTCTCCTGCAGTTCTGCCAAGCCCGTGGTAGGACACAGGCAGGGACACATCCCCAGCTCAGTGCTGACAGCTCATCTGGGGCAGCAGCTGCCAGGAAAGGGAGGAGGGATGAGGGCATGACTTTTGCTACAAAACCACAAACTCTTCCTCTGAAGCCACTCTGGCAGAGCCAGTTTGGCAGTTCCTGGCTGGGATAGCCCGAAAGTGAGGGATCTAATGGATGTTTGGAGGTTCTCTGGCTGCTCAGCTGCCTTTGCCCCCAACAAGAGTCTCCCACAGCCCCTTGGTGCCTCTGCCCTGCTGTGGGCACCTGGAGCCAGTGACTGCTGAAGGGTTTAAGGACTGTGCAGCTCTGACACAGCCCTGGACACGATCCCTGTGCTCACAGAGGAGAAATCCCCCTCTTCCATCTGCCTTTCCACCGAAGTGGCATATTCCCAGCCAGCAGCATTGGTCTGACTGGTCTCCACGGCCCCTTTCCTGCCCAATCCCCAGTTCCCAGCCTATGCAGCACCCAGGATTAATTCCCCCTTGTCCCTGCTCCCTCAGTGACCTCCCTGCCTTGCTCCAGCCCCTGCCTGGAGCCCCAGAGCTCAGCTCTTTCGAAGAACATCCTCATTCCTCCTCCCTCCGTCACCCCCAGCTGTGCTCTGGCAGCCTGGCCCTGGGCCAGAGCATTGAGCAACCTGCAAAGCCCTTGCACAAGCCTTTCCTGGATGAGGAAATGCACTTAGATTGCCAGTGCTGAACTGCTCTGGAGAGGAGATGTCTTGCTGTCAGACCCACCATGGCAGGACACATCCCTGGGATGCTCAGCACTGAGGTTGTTTTGCCTGGTGCCAGGGCTGATCCCTTTTTCTCCAGCTCAGTTTTGCCACAAGAGAAAGAAAAAGCAGGTTAAAGGACTCTGCCTGTGCCAGGCTGGGCTGGGTGTGGGCTGGGATGAGCCCTGTGGGCACCATGCCCAGGGCAGAGCTCCTCTGCACAGGTAAAGGCTGTGGCTGCTGCAGACTGCACTGTGGGGCTGAAAAAGGGCTGGGCTAGGGCTCAGAGCTGAGCACAGCAGTGTGCAGGGGAATCAGTGTTAGAGTGAGCTATGGGGTTGGGATGGACCTTAGAGATCACCCAGTGCCAACACGCTGCTCTGGGCAGGGACACCTCCCACCAGAGCAGATTGCTCACAGGCTTTGAACACTGCCAGGGTTGGGGCATCTATAGCCTCCTTGGGGAAACCAAAACCTCCTCGAGGCAACCAAAATCTCCTTGGAGCATCCACAGCCTCCCTGGGAAATCTGTGCCAGTGTCTCACCACCCTCACAGCAAAAACTTCTGCCTGAGATCTCATCTCAATTTCCCTCTTTCAATTTCTCCCATTCCTTCCTGTCCTGTCCCTGCAGCTCCTAACCAAGAGTCCTCTGCAGCTTCCCTGGAGCCCCTTCAGCTCCTGGCACGTTGCTCTGAGGTCTCCACACAACCTTCTCTTCTCCAGGATGAACAGCCCCAACTCTCTCAGCCTGTCCTCATAGGGAAGGTGCTCTGGTCCTCTCATCAGCTCTGTGACCTCCTCTGCACTTGCTCCAACAGCTCCATGTCCTTGTGCTGTTGGGGACACAGAGCTGTGTGCAGCACTCCAGGTGGGTCTCAGCAGAGCAGAGCAGAGGGGGAGAATCCCCTCCCTCCCCTGCTGCCACACTCCTGTGGCTGCAGCACAGGCCTGGGTTGGATTCAAGAGATCATTAAGGCTGGAAAAGGCCTCTAAGATCATCAAGTCCAACCATTGTCCCAGCACTGCCACGTTCAGTACTAAACCACATCCCCAAGTGCCACATCCACATGTATTTTGAACACTTTCAGGGGTGGTGACTCCACCACCTTAGACTCATAGAATCATCAAGGTTGGAGGAGACCCCTAAGGTCATCAGGTCCAACCCTTAACCTGCCACTGTTGTAACTCCTAAACCCTAAACCAGCTCTTCCAGCACCAGGATGGGACATCATTCCCTAGGGATGGGCTCCACCTCATCCTCACTGCTGGCTGCTCTCCTCCTGGACCAGGAGGGAGGTGGCACCCATATTCCAAAGGGATGAGGCCCCTGGCAGGGGGTGTTAGAGGGGTGGAGGATTATCCCAGTCACAGCCTGAGCTCCCCATGTTGGAGCAGCCCAGGAGGAGCTGCCAAGCCCCCAGGACCATCACCAACCTCTGTGCCTGACTCAGGGATGAAGCTCTTGATGGTGACAGTTTTCCCTGGCGCTGGGAAGGGAGATTCCCGCAGACCTTGCATGAAGGGATAGATCACAGCCATGGAGATCTGGCGCCGCTTCTCCACCTCGTCCAGGATCTGGGGGAGACAGGAGGGAGCTGGGAAACACTGCAAGCCATGGAGCTGCTGCTGGGGCCACCACCAGGCCAGATGGGGCCACCACTAGACCAGACAGGGCCACCACCGTGCCAGACAGGGCCACCTCTGAGCTAGAAGGGGCCAACACCATGCAGGATGGGACCACCACTGTGCCAGCCAGGGCCACCACTGGGCTAGATGGGGCCACCATGGTGTTAGACAGGGCCACCACCATGTAGAATGAGGCCACTACCATGCCAGATGGGGCGAATACTGTGCAGGATGAAGACACCACCATTCCAGATGAGGCCACCACCATGCAGGATGGGGCCACCACTGGACCAGAAGGGGCCACCGTGTCCCTACCTTGGAGAAGAGCCCGAAGCAGCCCAGGCAGCTGATGATGCAGAAGACCTCAGGAAGCCGAACACCACGGCCAGAAGGCTGGAAGAGGATGGAAAAAGGCTTTGAGCATATCCCAGCACCACTGCACCAGCTCCACCTCTCCACAGAGCTCCCTACTGGCCTCACTCAGCCCCCAGAGTCCCAATTTTCAGAGCTGGAGCCAAGGTCAAGGCTGCAGTTGATGATGGAAGAGCAGAAGGTGCCCAGAGAAGGTAATTGATGCCAAAGCTTTTCATCACTTTGGTGCAAAGTCCTTTGGCACATTCCCAAACACTCCTCCGACCCTGACACGTTATCCAAGACATCCTGCTCCCCATCCTTGGGGCTAATCCCTCCTAATGCCACAGGGACCATCAGGAAGAGTTCCTTGGCTTTTTTATCCCTTTCCAACTGGACTATCCTGGCTCTGTTTGCTCTCTGCACTTTCAGCCTTCAGACAACCAGTTCCAACAGCCTAAGCTCAGCCCTGGATGCCAGGGACAGGTTCACCAAGGGATGAAGGGGTGGTGGGATCCAGCAAGTCCCCGAGCCATGGCACAGGGATGTCCCTGTGGCTTTATACCCCTATTTAAGCAGACAAGGAAGACCATCACACCTCATCAAACCCATGAGTCGAGCCAGGGTCTGGGGTTCCCTACTCCTGGTGTACTCCTGAGGGCTGGAAGGACCATCCCTTCCCATCCCTTCCCATCCCATCCCATCCCATCCCATCCCACATCCCATCCCATCCCATCCCTTCCCAGCCCAGCCCACTGCTCCGCAGCAGTGTTTGGGGATGGGGTTGAGGGCACCCAACTCCCTGATCCCTGGATGAGTGCACACTCATCCCCATCCTGATCCCAAATTGGATTTGCAGCCATCCTGACCACTGCAGCCAAGGGAAAGGAGCCAGGGAAGATGCAGGTGGGGAATCATTCAGGTTAGAAAAGCCAAGTCCACCTGTCAGCCTAGAACCTCTACCATGGCCACCCCAAAACCATATCCCCAAGTGCCATATCCACACATCTGGTGAACACTCCTTTTTCCCTCCATCCAGCATCCAACT